GACATATGAGAAATTCAGCGGATTCCGTTTTCAACAGAATGTATTCAGATCACACCTTCTGTTCCTAAATGCAATCTGCAGTTGAAGTCTGTACATTTCCAAGCTTGTGATACAATGCACGGAACAAAAATCATGAATTTGAACAAGGCATACTTTTTTAAAAAATTGAGCATGATTGATATGCATATGTAGGAAAGTGTTCATAAAAGCATGCGGGGATATTTATTCAGGAAACAAAACAAAGCTCACATTTTGATGCACATGAGAGTTGGAATGAGCTTCCAAGTGGAATTTGCAGAGGCCTGGGTTTTGCTGATTCACAGCCCCTTACATAATAACTCATGAAGAACCAGTCAGCTGGCCATGACTGAACTGGTCTAGCAGAACTACTGTGTTTTGCTGGATGAGTAGTATTGCAGGTTTGGAAATGTATGGACTTCAGCTGCAGTTTGTGCCAAGTACAGGTCTGAAGTTGCAAACTGGGTCAATTCTAATACAAAATAAATAAGCTGAAACAAATTTCTCATGGATCCCCGAAGGTGTTTCCCTGACTCTAGAGTTCCCTTCCATCTGGGACTTGTATTTGTTTTTCGAATTGCCATCTGCGTTAGGCCATGCTTCAGATCCTGTGTGAGGTTAACTCTTTTTATTAATTACTATTTTCATCTGATGTGACTTGTTTTGGGAACCCGAGATGAAAAACAGAATGCAAATAAATATAATTCAAAACAAGGACTGTCAATTTCATGAGAGAGCCTGAAAAACTCTAAAAATGTAAAATCTGGCTAAATGAGAGGATCTGGAAGTGGATTTTAAATGAATCATTTCCCACTCACTGCCAGAAACAGCATTAGTCAGGAACAATTAATTAAGTGGGAACCTTCTGGGAGGGCCCTTTCTAACCTCATATCCTTTTTTTGTGCCATGTCAGAATCAGTCTCTGAGTTGATACAGTGTCTGGCTGGCACCTTCTCTTCCATTTCTGAAAGTGCCCCTTTATGAAGAATGACTTAGCATTTTATAGGCACTCCTCTGCCTGCTTACCCTTCGTTGTAAGCACAACGTTTCTGTAAGTGAATCGTCTGCTCCATCAAGACATGTAGCATCTTGCAATAGCTTAAATATGGACACACTTAATGGGCAGCATGATTCAAAATAATTCTACCAGAAATGCAAGAATTTTGCTTCTTGGATGAAAGATTGTGCTCATGGATAGGAAAGAGGGAATCTTTCCATTTGGTTCCTCATTTTTCCAGCCTTAAATTTGGACTGTCTCCAACTCTGAACATTTCTCTAAACTTAGATTTCTCTCATCCTAAACGTTGAGGGTTTTTTTTTAAGTTTTCATAAAAATTCAAACTCCTAGAGAACTCCAAAGCCATGCATTTTTCAATGTGTATAACGTGAAGTACACACTTTGTTTTACAAGCCACTTGCTTTATTTTATGCATTTAGATGTTATTTTCCCACTGATACTTGACTGGAAAACTCCACTATAAAATTCAGAGAAGTGTATATTTCAAAGGCAGTCCCCATAGAGGTTTAGAAGTATAAACTTAGTTAAATTTGCAGTATAATCTGGACAGAAGGAATATCTTCCCCCACCACTACCCATGGAAGGATCTGTTTTGCTCCTGTTACATGTAACACATTGTGGTATGACGTGTTTTGACTAGAGGCATACAAGATGGCCCACAACTCCCAGCTTTGCAGACTGGAGCATGCTGGGAGCGGAAACCTGCATAGAACTGTGCCCTAAAAGCTCATTTTGAACGTTCTAATTGTGAACTTATAGTGGAAGGTGAATCCCACCGCCACGATTCTCCTTACTCCTTGCACATGAGCCTAGGAATCCCAATCTTCCACAGTTAGAGGTGGGCCAATAAGGACACAATTCTATGCAGGTTTAGGCAGGAAAATGTAAGAACAATGAAAACGATGCATACTTAAAAGCTCAGCAACAAAGCAATCCTAAGTGAAGGAGAAATAGTCAGGAAAATTTAGGAAACCTGTGGAAAACTCTGCAACTATGTTTTCAAGAGGCACATAGAGATCACCATCACTTCTGCCTCTCGAATGAGACACGGAAGGGAGTCCCAGTGGCTGGACGGCACTACTAGAAGGGAGGGTCACCTGCTGGTGCTTGACAACCCTCTATCGGTCATGGAGTGACCCACAAGGCCGCCTCAGAAGATCTGAGGCGTCAGGTGGATGCGCAGAGGGGAAGGTGGTGAGCTAGGCACCCCAGTTCCTGGGCTGTTTCAGCTTGTACACCAGCAGCAAAACCTTGACCGTGGCTCGCTAGCCAATAAACAGCCGGTGTTGTTCTTCTAGCACTGGGGCGAGGTGTGGATGGCTCTCTACTCTTCTGAGCATCCCAACTACAACATTCTGTGCTTGCAGTGGCTTCTAAATCAAGGTAAGGGAAGGCCCATACAGAGTGCATTACTGTGAGGTTACTGGATTTTACTATCTCTATTAGATTGTGACCCTGTGGGCAGGGGTGTCTTCCTTTTACCTGTATAGTGTTTGGAAAATGATAAGTGCTTTAAAAAGATTATATTCTCATCCTCCACCTCCTCCTCATCATCAAACTAATCCACCTGCATTATGTTTCTTTAGGGTAAAACAGTTCCATGCCTCAAATGCATTGTGTGAATCAATTGAGTGTGTCTTTTGTTTGGAGGGTAATGGAGTTACATTAAAATCAGACAGAAAGTTATCTTAAATAACTAGTTGGACAAGTTACAGAGGGACCTGTTGGGATTTCCGATTGACTGCTTTGAGGAGTTCAGAGTCAAGTTCGCTTATGCAGAGGATGACACAGTATAGCCCTCTTGGGACTGCACCAATTCCAGATATAGGCAGAGATTCACACAATGAAAAATGCACAAATGGTTTGCTCATACCAGGCCCTGGATGAAAATTTCACTCCCTGTCAGGCCAGGGAAATGATCTTCTAGGGATTCTTGAAAAATAAACACCCTTCCCCTCAACCCTGAGAAATAAGAACATCGGAATAGCCCTGATGGCGGGCCCAAGGTCCATCCAGTGCACAACACTGCAATGGCAGACAAACTGCCCATAGGATCCCTCCAGCAGGATGGGGGCAAGACCTCCTCCTGCCCAGCTCCTCAGCATCTGGCGTGTGCAGGCAGGCAGCCTCTGGTGGAGGAGGAAGCACATGGCCAGCAAGGCTAGTAGCCACGGAGATCCTCCTCTTCCATGAATAAGTCCAGTCCCCATTTAAAGCCATCCAGATTGGTGGCCATCACCCTTCCCATGGCAGTGATACTGTTCTAGCTCTTACTAAGCCTGGGCAAGCACCTACTGAAACCAGGTAAGTAAGTCTCAGAATTCCTCAAGTGCTGGACTGGACACGAAGCTTCAAACTCATGTTTATTGCATCGAGTCTACCGAAAGTCCAGCTACTTTAATCAATCAGAATCTTCCTCATGTGATTAATTCAGGTGACTTCCTCTGCTACTTCCATGCTGCCCAAGAAGGACAAAAATGGATGCTTAGTTCTATAAGCTTTGCATAGGTTAAGGCATATGTATAGATGCAAATGTATAAATTAAAACTCTTTTAAATAGAAATACAGCATGTTTCACCAAAGTGGGTAAGACTGACCAGGTGGTTTATGGGACTGGTTAGTTCTGCTGGCCAAGTACTAACTGTTGACAGACAACTTCAAGGCTTTCAGCCAGACCTTCAGATGATTCTTTAAACTGGACTTGGGCTGAGCTTGGATGGACTTGGGCCTTCAGATGAAGCTGGCCTTCAAACTGTCCTCTCAAGAATCCCTATTCTGAAGTTGATGTGGAACAGGCTTCTCTTCGGGCACTGAGGTCCCCAGCTAGGTAGGGATTGAGCAGCTGAATCCAAACCTCGAACTGCGCTCAGAAAGAGGCAGCAACCTGCCTTCTAAGCACTGGCTGGGTGTAATCCCAGTCTCTGGTCATACTTCATAGCCTGCAAACCAGATTGTGGACTAACTGTTGGTCCCAGCTGTCTCCAAATGGAGCCTCCATCACAACCTTCCCCAGCTGTGGATGTTTGGGATCACAGTCTTCCTCAGCCATTGTGGTCCAGAAAGATGGCAACTGAAGTCCAGACATCTAGAGAACGCCAGAAGCGCATTGCCCTAACATATAAGAATCAGCCCCTGTTGCTGCCACAAAGAATTGCTTTTCAGAGGAGCAGTCTTTCCTCAGTGAGAGCAACTGCTGAAGAGGAGTTGTCGAGCAGGTCAAAAGGCATGTATGAATGGCCCAGAGAGGTGGGAGCCCAGGCTGCAATGCAGCGGTGGTGACAGGGACCAGTTCACTGGAGGGAAACCCTAAACAGTTCAGTGGAGCCTCAGATCCCTGGAAGGTCATTCGGTCAGCCACCCAGCTGTCTGGACTCTGATGGTCTCTGCGTCACCTAATCCCACTGGATAAACCGGCATTTTGTCCACATGGGCTTCTTCTCCTGCTTTCCCCTGGCAGGATTCCTCCTGGCTGACGTTTTGCTTTCCCCTGCCCATAATCCCAGTCTACCAATAAGACTGTCCTTAGAAGACGGGGCACCTTAGGAGCACACACAGAACACACCATACAGAACATATGTAAATTTAGCTTATGAGAAGTTGTGCTTTTTTGTATGGGTTTGGTTTGGGTCCTGTGAACCTAACCCACCACCCTGCCTTCCTGTGCACCACACGCTCCTTGGAACACAACTGGGCATGTTCCTGATTAGACCTACATGGGATTACATGGCTAACCTGCTTCCATGCTGCTCAGGGGGCCAGGCTGCCCCCATTGCCCTGGCTCCCCAGCCTCCCATAGCCACAGAAACAGACCTCCCCAGCCCTCCACCTGCAGGCTCTTTCCTACATGCCCAGCTTCCAATTATTAGCATTGCCTCCCGTTTCAGCCACCTTTGCATGGCTCACTTGTGTCCCATGCCTGGCACTGCATCCCCAGATCCTGAAATTAAAGAGACCGCTCACTCACTCATTCTGTGCCGTATGGAGACAGTGTCACTCCGAGCCCCATCTTTGAAGTATGCCCAAATTGAGATCTGGTATTCGGTGTTCTTTTTCAGCCCAGACAAAATAGAAGAGGCCAGGTTTCCAGCAACAGACAGCTACGGGGGAATGGAATATGATCAGCTGAATCTCTAGGCATCTGTATGATCAGGATTATTCAGACAAGCAAACAAATAAACAAACAAGAACAGACTGAGAAAACAGAGGTTTCCATTCTGGAATAGGAAGACCAAATTACCCTAGAATAGGAATGGGTAAACTTTTTGTTTCTGTTCGCTTCTGTTAAAAATGTTCACAATTCATAATATTTGGGATGGAACGAACTTGATTTTTTTTAAAAGGAATGTGGGAAAGACCAAAACTAACAGATTACTCCTTCGTGGCGCAGAACTGGGATCAAATAACATCAATCACACTGGTGCTGAATTAGAGTTGCAACCTTTTCTTTTTATGAGCTGCTCTTCGACTTGAATATCTAAATGGCAGGCAGGTACAGCGGGAGCAGCAACAGTGCCAGCAGGAACCTATGTTTGAATAGCGCAAAAGCTCCACCTCAGAATGCTTCACGTTCCAGTAATGGCCCATCTTTAAAAGGCTGTTATTACCAGCCCTGAAACCTTCCAGATGGTGAGGTGAAACATTCCAAATGTATATATAAACAAAACTAGTTCTATCTAAGTCCCTTGACACACTCCATAGTTCCTCAAGCTTCCCCAGAATGACCAGCTATGCGTTGCTATGGATTATTTCTGGACCACCTTTTGGCCAAAAAGGGTCCCCAAAGTAAGTCACAAAAGTTCAGAAACACAACAGTCAAGCAGTCCAATGCCTTAGCTATTAGGCGGTATAAAAATTAATTAATTAATTAATTAATTAATTAATTAATTAATATTCAGGTTCATTGCATACCTCCTGTGCTCTTTCTTCCCCAAGAACGTTCCATTTGATTTGGTAGACGACTACATCGGGGGCAGCCAACGCTTCCCATTCCAGCCGGACCTCACTCCCTGAGAGCTCGGTGACCTTCAGGTGGCTCGGCGGTGGCACCTTTACTGAAAGCCAAAGAGAAGGAGCAGACCAACGTTCAGCCTTTCCTCATTGTGTGCCTGATGCTGGGAGCCAAAACCATCTTGCAGCCGCGCCACGGAGCAGATGGTGAGGGAGTTGAAAGGCCACCGGGCAGCTGTCCTTAATCAGCACATCTTTTACTCCTCCACACCTCGAATGACAAAAGTCTACCCTGAAGGACCAGCATGTTGTAATTTGCAGCTATTAATTAAAGCATGATTATTTCAGTTGAATGTGAGACATACTCACTTTGGCATTTTCAACTGCAGAGGAACCCAAGAAGGGTGTTCAAGGAGAAAGTAAGGGGAGAAAGATTGCCTTTCTCATCTGTGCATGAGGACAGCCTCCCCTAACCTAGGACTACAATTCCCATCTGACTGTGAAAGATAGAACTTGTGCATCTGAAGGACTGCAGTTTGGAGCATTTCCCTGGACAGTTAAGAATTTTTGGAGATCCAAACAGATTTGCTTATGCAGATCAGCCACTGACTCCACAACAGGATGGCTCCTTGTTTAGATGAAGGTCCCAATATAGGTCACTATAATCTTCCCTGGTTCACTTCTGATTTTTCCCACCTCTTGGCCCCTACCCTTGGGCTGCCAATGGTTCAGGCCTAACAGTCCTTGAACCTTAAAGTGGCCTTCCAGATGTTTTGGACCAAGTTTTGCATGAGACCTAACCAACATGGTCAATGATTAGAGATGGTGAAAGTTGTAGATCAAACATCTGTTGTGTGCCCAGCTGAAGCAAGGCAACACTAAAGGCACAGAAAACTCCGAGGCAGGGTGGGCATTTGCAAGTGGAGACTCTTTCAGCCATGTTTGGTAAAACTCCAGTTAACACTGGAAAAAGAAGACGGGGAGAAGTCCCCTCTACCAAGCCAAGTGGAGACAATAATCTTCCATCTAGCAGGAACTTGGAAGAACAGAATCACATCGATGGCATTCAGCTGGCAATGTTCCAATAATGATTGGAAATTAAATGCCGTCACTCCTCCGCATGATCTGAGCTTGAGCGTGCAACTTGAAGCTCTTGTATCAACCAGCGCTTGGTCGGCCACCTGGATCTCCAAGGGCTGGCAGCACTCAGCGCTCATCGATCTGCCCCATCCCCTTACTTACATGTTGTAACATTGCCTGTTACTGGAAAGGAGTCGCCTTCGTCATAAACAGAAATCACACTGACGAAATACTGTGTCAGTGAGGACAGAGGCTTCAGCACAGCAAACGAGACGTTGCCGAGCACTTCCACCTGCAATGTAAGGAAGCGGTAAGAGACTGTGGAGCATCTGCTGGGAAGCTAACCATGTCTCCCCAGAGGTAGGAGTAGAGGGAAGGGAGCAGCACACAGATGAAGGCCATGGGCCTTGTCACCCTTGGTGTGGGTACAGAAGTGCATTTGTCATAAGGGTAAGGTGGTAAACTCAGGGGAGAGAGCGAGAGCACACATGTAGATTCTTATTGCCATCTTGCAAGCAAAGCAACTCACGGACTGGAGAGGCAAACAGGCTAAATAACCCTTTCATCTTCCCTTTCTGTGACCTTCTCTGTGGCCACCAGGTGGGAACCTCTCTTTCTCTAGCTGCCTCCACCAAACCAGCCTTACGCTCTCTGATTCTCGGGCATCTTCTTTAGGGAGCATGGCAGTTCTTGTTGGATGTGATGTGGGTACTTCACCACCGCCCCAGAAGATCATAAATAACATAGAAACAGCAACAGAGCGAGTCAGAAGGGGTCACCCGGGCCATCTAGTCTGACCTCCGGCACCAGCCGGCTCCGCTCACGACATGCCCACCATGTGGATGTCCAGCCTATCCTTCAACACCCGCACCGATGGGGCCTCAACCACCTCCCGTGGAAGCCCATTCCACACCCTTGGGGTCCTGACTGTCAGGAAGTGCTTCCTGGCCTCCAAATGGAACCTTGGCTCCCTGAGCTTTGCTCCATTGGAGCATGTCCTGCCTATAGGCGTGTCCTGCCTATAAATATGTTTCAAAAATGATTGACTCCTAAACTATTAGCCATTTGGTTGAAATTGACACTCATACCAAGAGAGAGAGAAAAAATTAACTCCACGGTATTCTAACACCAAGGGATGTGGTGGCACAGTGGTTTAAACTGCTGTGCTGCTGGGCTGGTTGATCGAAAGGTTAACAGTTCGAATCTGCAGACGGGGTGAGTTCCTGCTGCTCCGTCCCAGCTCCTGCCAACCTTGCAGCTCGAAAGCATGCAAATGCAAGTAGATGAAAAGGTGCCACTGCGGTGGGCAGGTAACAGCGTTCCGTGCACCTCGGTGTTGAGCCATGCCGGCCACATGACCACGGAGACTGTCTGCGGACAAGCGCTGGCTCCCTCGGCCAGGAAACGGAGATGAGCACCGCCCCCGAGAGTCAGGCACGGCTGGACTTTAATGTCAAGGGGAAACCTTTACCTTTTTCTTCTAACATCAAATTACATGCAAAAGTGCAGTTCTGCTTCCTCCCGCCCCCCAAAATGCACATCTTGCTAATAACCCCATGGTGTAACATCCAACACTTTCAATTGTGAACTCAGTGATCCACGTCCAAATCTGCATGGGAACTGTCATTCTGCCAAGGAAGTACCTCTTTTTCTGGGAAACGGAACAGGCCGATCCGGGTGGGTGGGGAAGGGTTCTCCTTCCCACTAACCTTCCATTGCTGTGAGGCATGGAAAGGAGGACAGCAAAACACCTGGTGAACACGGCCCTCCTTGCACCTGGGAGGGGAAGGTGGCTCTGAATGTTTCCAACCCTCTAAACCAAGTTCAATGTCAGACTGCCATCTCCACTGCTCTATACAAACTGCATTGCTTTCAAACCAATTTGCATTTCAACTGCTGTGCTTACCTTTGGGGTTTTGAAATGTTATTTTATTTTTCACTTTATGTCATAGACGCCCCTGCATTACATGTAATGACAACAGGATTAGGGCAGCCCCAAACTTCCTGGATCAGAAATGAATGTTGCAATCCATTTTTGAAAACTGTCTGCAAATTCCTGCTCCTGAGCTGTTGGAGAATCACAGTCTCCCCCCAAGGCATATTAGCAAAAGATCTACCCAAATTTTACAGAGTGGAGAATTTCAGGCGCAATGTAGAGCCACTTTGACTATGTTTCATATTATTTCATAATTATCGAAGGAAGCAATGAACGCGGCTCTTACGTCGTTGGTTTCTCCTCTCTTGCCCCAAGCATCCAACTAACAGAGCAGAGTTCTATTCAACATTCAAGGAGTCCCAATTTCTCCAAAGAGATGCTTCTTTTCTGCCCTGTCCTAACAATGGGAGAACATTTATGCTCCCCCGCAAAATATTCAACAAAATACAAATAGCATGGGGAATCTGGGGAGACATTTTTGCTCACTGGGCCTGCCCAAGAGATTTGCCTGCCTGAGTTATAGAAGAGGGGTGACTCACTTCTGTTTCTGCCTGCCTCCTTCCAGGCACATACAGAAGCCGATCTGGTTGGCAGCCCCAATGCTGGGGCTCTCAGCCACATCTCTGGGCAGCAGGCTATTCGGGGGTGAGAGTTAGGGTTGGGGTTAGGAGCAGGTTTTAGCACTACTGCAGCCTGTGCCAAGCATCTGTCACTTTCTCACTCTGCCTTATGGTAGGGCCGGCCCTGTTTGCTCATCTCTGAATTAAAATACCATTCCACTAACTAGTGCAGGTGGCTTTAAAACAGGAAGGGTCAAATTCATGATGGACTGGCCCAGTGCTGGCTGGAACCCATGACAGAGAAATGGAGCCTCCATTTACAAAGGCAGTGTACCTTTGATCTCGGGTGTGGGTGCTCTGCTCGGGAGGTTCCGGTGGCCTCTGGCTAGCTGCTGTTGTTGGAAACACAACTCTGGACAGGGGTCTGCTTCCATTCTTAGGGCCACTCACCTCTCCGGTGTTGCTTCCCCTGTTTGAGATGTATGTCACACGGTGCATTTTCACAGCATGGAAAGCAGCCTCCCAGTTGACCCTCACTGAGGCGTGGCTGATGTTGGAGAAATGCAGATGTTTGGGAGGACTCAAGGCCACTGGAAGGTACAGGATAAAGACACCAGAGTCTGAAGCCAGTTTACCTTCCATGCAGACGCGCCCAATAAGACCCAGGAATGCAGATCAGCAAATAGTCTAGAAGGGTCTTTCCACACAATTCCCAGAAGCCTGACAAGGTTTTTAAAATTCCCAGAATTCCACCAGGGGAGGCCATGACAGTAAGCAAAGCAGTTATGTTAATTTTCCGGACTGATGCTAATATCACTCCAGAAAGGGACTACTGGGCTCAGATTAGCTGAGCCAGATTCGGCACAGCATTCTAGCTCGCGAAGAGCCCATCGAAGTCATGTAGCTTTCCCTACACTCTCGTGGGATGCCCAGCTTGAAACGGAAGTGGCACGACTTACAGGTGGTTTCCTGAACACTGGCTGGATCGCTGGCATCTTCTCCGTGCATCGCATACACCGCTAGCGAGTACTCGGTGCTGGGAGACAAACCTCCGAGCAGCACTTCAGGCTGCTCTACTTTCACCTGGAAGAATGCAAAGAAGCAGGAGGGCTGAGGAGCAGAAAAGAGACTCCAGGAAAGCCAAGCTAAGCCCACGTTTATCAGGACTGAAACAAACGTTAAGCTTGTCTTTAATAGTAATGATCCACACACTTGTAGTCTAGATGTCCATCTCAAAAAAATGCATTACTAACCAGAAGATAGTTTCCCGACCCTTGTGCAATCCCACCATACTACCATCTCTACTTTGGTATCAGCCTCATTTCCTCTTACAAGGGACCCAAGGCAGCTTGCACGGTCTTCTTCCACTCCATTTTCCACTCACAACAGCCCTGTGAGGTAGGATATGCTGAAAGCCAGGGATCAGTCCAGAGACACTGCGTGAGGTTCATAGCTAGGTGGGAACCTGAACGTGGCTCTCTCAAGCCCCAGTTCAGCACTCTAACCACTACACTCTTGTAGTAGAATATTACTGCTCGGCTTTGCATGAGTACCTGTGTAACTTGTATCACCCCCACCCTCCTCGCCAACCTATTTGCATGGCCAACTACCTAGTTGCAGCATAGACGAGAAAAGCAGAAAAACGGTGTGTAGGCAGATTGGAAGGAAGCAGCGGGGCTTGACCCAGGGTGCAGAACCTCAGTGTGAGGGCCAGATCCAGGTCTCCCAGTTCTCCTAAACTCCCCAGAAAGCCATGTCCCATGACCCTGTCCCCAACCCCTTTCAGCTAACCCGCAATTGTTTGGCAGTTTCTTGGCCTTTGAGGACTCCCTGCCTCATTCTACAAGATTAAATTGCCTCCCTAATTCTTTGTGACTGGCAAGAAAAGCTCTGAATGAAAAAAGATGCTGGTGCCAGCCTTTTTCACATTGTCCCTTTCACCTTTAGCTTCCATCTAAATGGGCATGCAGCTGCAGCAAGTTAAAATGGTCAACAGGCCCACGCAGGTCTTGAACCCCTGTGCATATTCATGGTTTGCTAACCCAAGATTGGAAGAGAAACCCGTCTCCACAGAGGTTCCTCACATGCTCACTCCTGGCTGCTTTTTCTTGCCAGCTGTTGGCACGTGCTGTTTCATCGTGAAGACCTTTTCACGATGACTTTTTCACTTTTCGTAGCCGGCAGAGCATTGGAGACTGCTCCCAGTTTGCTACATCTCAAAGCTGAAGTACTCATTCAGACATTTCATGTGGTAGAGCCCCTCTGAGAGCTGCATCATTTTGGATAATTAGGAGAGGACCATACCATCAAATACCCCTCAGCATAAAGAAGCATAGAAAAGTGGATTATTCTAGTGCTGTTTTCTGGATTGTTGTTGTTGCTGTTAGTTGCGAAGTCGTGTCCGACCCATCGCGACCCCATGGACAACGTTCCTCCAGGCCTTCCTGTCCTCCACCATCCCCCAGAGTCCACTCAAGCTCACACCAACTGCTTCAGTGACTCCATCCAGCCACCTCATCCTCTGCCATCCTCTTCTTCTTTTGCCATCAATTGTTCCCAGCATCAGGCTCTTCTCCAGGGAGTCCTTCCTTCTCATTAGGTGGCCAAAGTATTTGAGTTTCATCTTCAGGATCTGGCCTTCTAAAGAGCAGTCAGGGTTGATCTCTAGGACTGACCGGTTTGATCGCCTTGCAGTCCAAGGGACTCGCAGGGGTCTCCTCCAGCACCACAATTCAAAGGCCTCAATCCTTTTGCGCTCAGCCTTCCTTATGGTCCGGCTTTCACAGCCATACATTGCAACTGGGAAAACCATAGCCTTGACTATACGCACTTTTGTTGGCAGGGTGATGTCTCTGCTTTTTAGTATGCTGCCTAGATTTGCCATAACTTTCCTCCCAAGGAGCAAGCGTCTTTTAATTTCTTGACTGCAGTCCCCATCTGCAGTAATCTTGGAGTTCAGGAAAATAAAATCTGTCACTACCTCCATTTCTTCCCCATCTATTTGCCAGGAAGTGAGAGGACCAGATGCCATGATCTTAGTTTTCTTAATGTTGAGTTTCAAGCCAGCTTTTGCGCTCTCCTCCTTCACCCAAATCAAGAGGCTCTTTAGTTCCTCTTCATTTTCTGCCATTAGAGTGGTATCATCTACATATCTGAGGTTGTTGATATTTCTCCCAGCAATATCTTTTTCTGGATACCCACCTTTAAATTGGGATGCCATCCATGCCCCTTGCATTTGGAAATAGTATAATCCTAAAAGGGCTTACCGTGTGTTTTATTCTGAGTGTGAAGATCAGTTCTAGGATGCTCCAGAGCTTCATAGTGCCTTTCAAGACCCAAAGTTCCCATGCTAAAAGGGCCCTTCAGAGCACCCACTGAAGGACAAAGATCCAAAGAAATGGGCAAAGGGGCTATATCAGTCCCTTTTGGCAGTGGGATGCTTTGTGATGCAAAAGGTTTCATACTATACACTACAAAGAGGGTTGCTGGATTGTGTGTGCGCTTTGGCAACATTAATAAATCTGAGGTTGTAGGGGCCCCACTTCCACCTGGACACATTGCTTTGAACCAGAGACCAGAGCTTGCCGGAACACCTTAATCTGCAGTTATGTTTTGCCTAATCTGAAAACTATTTATTCATTGAAGCTTGTTTGCTGCCATCTTCTGGAAGGAAGCAGAACTGCATGGATTGTGGAATATTTTCCACATTTGGATTTCAAAGCTTTGGGTGCTGCTTGCTTGCTTGCTTGCTTGCTAAACCGCTGTGATTTTTGCAGGATCTCCCCTTTATCTTTACATAGTCCATAGTGCTGGTTCGCCAGTTTCCTCTCTGGAGAGATCTGTGACTGAGAGATGCTAATTTATTCTTTTATTTTTTTTCTATTGTATCAATATTGTTGTAAATGTCCAGAGATGTTTGTGATGGGATGGTATTGAAAAGTTTTTAAAAAATAAAATAAATGATTTAGATACCAGTTTGGGGAACAGATCATTTTTGAGGTCCAGTTCACACATGCTTGTTTAGCTCCAGGCAATAACTTGCTGAATGTACTTTCACTGATCGAAGAACCCAGATGCAACTTTGGACCACCTCAGATGCAAGATGCAAGCGCTTCTTAAAAGAGTACCTTCTGGGTCCCATCAGGTTGTGAGCAATTAACCTATGAGAAATGCAGTGCTGCATTTCATGTGTGAACCAACCCGAGAAATGCCAACTTCCACTTTTTTCCCTCTCTCTCCCTTGTATAATTGTTATTGAGCAATTCACTGTTGCCGCTTGGCCGGCACCTCAGAATATTTCTTCATATTGTCATGTATTTGATGGATTGAGTGCATATTTTACTCTAAAGCTCAAGGGAGCAACTTTTCTAGCTTTATTGCTGCCACTCTTAGAGCTGTACAATGAATATACATCTGGAGAAGCAATTTCCCCATAATTATGAACCAGGGAGAAATTAGTTCTGTTCATATTTTAATGAAATTTTGCTCTTTCTAAATGTATGTAAACCACAGTGCAGTTATCTTTCTAAATTTTGTCTCCTCCAATGTTTGTAATGGAGTTTTCCAATTAAATAATATGCATAAAAGTGTTGTAGAAACACAGGAAAAAAGCAAATCAGAAGGGGTCTTCTGGGTCATCTAGTCTCACCCTTGGATCCAGCTGGCTCCGTTCATGTAATCCCCAATATGTGGTTTTCCGATCTTTCCTTGAACACCCTCACTGAGGAGGGCTCCACCACCTCCCTTGGAAGCCCAATCCATACCCTAGGGGTTCTAACTGGTAGGAAGTACTTCCTGGCATCCAAATTGAACCTTGGGTCCCTGAGCTTGGCTCTGTTGGAGCACATCCTGCCTTCCTCTGCAGGGAAGAACAGGTCACTGCCCTCCTCCACCTGACATACCTATAAGTTGCTAAATGTTCCCCTTGGAGTCTCCTCCTTCAGGCTGAAAAGACCCAGTTCCCTCAATCTCTCCTCATACATCATCCCTCCCAACCCAGTTACTATTCTTACGACCCTGCACTGAACTGATTCTAACCTCGCTGTGACTCTCCTCCCAGAACTGGCCACAGCGTTCCAGAGTCACGTAGAGTTGTATCAACACCTCCCTGGATCTGGAAGCCACGCTTCTGGCTATTACCTTCAAGGGTGGCGTTTGCCTTCTTAACCTCTACTTCACACTGTGGTAGACAAATAGCCCAAGATCCCTCTCCAGCCACTTGCCCCCCATCCTGTACCTGCGGCACCTATTTCTGTGTCCCACGTGCAAGATCTTGCACTTACCCACAATGAATGCCATCTTGCTTTCCCCTGCCCAAAGCCTGTCCAGATCCTTCTGGGTCTGGATCACCTGCTCCTCAGTTGTAGCCACCACCCTCACTTTGGTGTCATCCACAAATTTAGTCAGTGAATATGAAAACAATTGCTTTTAGAAGGATTCTATTAAAGGAAACTGTTTTTAACAATTCACATATTAGGCAAAAGTGTGCAGGAAAATGTGTCCATTTGGAACTAGAACATATCTTTTATCAGTGCTTTTGTTGTAAAAAAAAAAAAAAAGAAAAAGGTGCCAGAATTCATGTCTTGGGGTCACACTTTTACACTAAAAAAGATTTTCAATTCACCAACTTTTTTTGAAATAAAGGACTTCTTTACCTTTTGCACGTAGCCAGTCACTCTACACACACATAAACATAATGGTCGCCGCCGGCAGTAAGCACTCAGCGTGCAACCACATGACTGATCCCAAGCCAAGCAGCGCCCTCACAATCAGCGCCGACACACAAGCAGCCCACAGGCACTATGTTAATGATTTTTGCTGCCGACCTGCTACGCCCAACAGGGCGATTCACAATCACGTGGAAAAATCCGTTGGAAAAATCCGTCAAAAAAAGGTGCTGGAACACCATTCCGGTGCATTCTGTGGCAAAAAAGTCCCTGCCTTTTATAAGCAAACTTAAAAACTACAACAAAAACAACATTGAACTTTTGATTCCAAAATGGGAAACTGAGAGAAGCTAAAATGGAAAGATTCATCTCTCCCAAACCACAACATCATGCTGTGGAGACAAGTTTCTCACTGTATTTCTCACATTTTAAAATTTATTTCCCATGCTAACAGCCAAAGGAATAGACCGAAGGGACATACAAAAGTTCATATAGTACAGCCCTCTCATGGGACTATACCATGACTATACTCTGAATGCATATGGGGAAAGAAATCATTAGTTTAAAATCATCCCTGCATCAGAATGACCTCCTATTTGTTACAGCTTCTTACTGAGCCTTTCAAGAACAGACGAAATGGGCAACTGTGAAAAGGGTAACACAATATCCTTGTTTACCTCTTTGGTGTCATCTTCTGCACCATTTGGGGCTGAGGAGCAGAGAATGAGATACTGAGTAGCGCCATCTGCTGGTTCCCAGATTAGTTTTATGCTGTTGTGACTGACTTCGGAAGCTCTGAGGGAACGGGGTGCAGAGAGAGGCACTACAAATAGATGAAACAGTAAAGGAAAACATTCAAGAAGATGCATTTTTCTAATGCTTAACACACCAGAAAAGCTCAACAAACACACATACATAATACATACGCAGCAGACAAACCGATGTGTACTCAGCTCTAAAAAAATTACGCACACTTGAAAAACAGGTTCTTGTGATCTGTACAAACCATGCAAATACGCACTGGCTGAGTTCACACATCACAACAAGTAACCCTGTGTTTTTCCCATGTTTTCTGTTTTTTTCCATGGATATGCCTGGCAGACAATCAGACCCATCATGGTAACTCTGCTCTCTCCTGTCTTCCCCCTCCCTCTCAGTCCTCCGGGTGGTATCCCAGGAGGCACAGCGGAGAGGAACGAGGCTCCTCGCTTCGTCAGCTGCAATTGCGAGCAGAGTTTGGCTCCGCACAGTTGTCTCTGCTGTACAAAGAGGGCTCAAGCTTTGTGGGTCTGCAGAGAAGACAGGGAGCTGGTCTAGCGCCCCCTTGAGGGGCCCACACAAGCAGAAAAGGCATGCCTGATACACGCTGCAGCAAAACGGGGGGATCAGTTGGGCAATGCTGTGCCCCCCCATGAGGGAAGCCCCTGATGTATGCACAGCAGGGGTGGGAATCCCTGTGCTCCACTGGGGGCTTCCTGCCGCAACATACCCCCCTGTGCCTCCCTTCTCGCTCACCGGAGGGAAGTCCCTTATGTATGCACAGCAGGGGTGGGAATCCCTGTGTCTCTTAAAGTCTCTTAAAGCCCACTTTTTTAAAAAAAATATGAAGTTTAAGTACAAGCTGACAGCAGATATCAATGCAGCTCAGTTAATCCAGCCTCTGAGCTCACACAGCTTGACAGTTGGAGATAAGTTGCAATCTGATCCGTAAGCACTATAAACATTAGCAGAATCCTTGGGGATTTGGGTCTGCATTTATTTGGATCATGAGAATAGCTTATGAGCTATTACAGTGTGTAATCGATTGTTTAAATGGACGGTTTTGAAAGAGCTGGCGTGGGCCTGACCTGAGTTTATTAAGGAGTAGCTCTGCTCTGTTTTGGACAAGGAGGCCCTGGTCTCCCGGATTGTAAATGGCAGGAGATCAGGACTGGGCCTCAAACTCAGACAGTTGCTTCCCTTCAGTGCATAAGAAGGCACTGCAATCTTGACTACAGAATTCCTCCCTGCAGTGATGGTGTGGGATTAGATAAGACCTACTTGGACTTGGAGAGCGAGAAGGGAGACGCTTGGGCTCACAGCCTCAGGAAACTGGAATCTGGGAAGCAGCATTTTCTCACCCCCCAAACAGATTCCTCACTGGGCTCTCATGTTATCTGCACCTAGCTGAGAAGACCAACCATAGTGAACAATCCACAGTTCCCAAACCAGCAGCAAACCATGGATTCTCTTTATGGTTCATGGTTCATGGTTCGTGGTTAAAAGCCATAGCTTATTATCACAGCTTAGTACAGACAGCACAATAGCTCCGCAACCACCCATGATTCAACAACAACCACACTAAACCCTTGGACATGGGTGAGCTTGTTGTCTGAACCCAGTCCCTGTCACTTAAACACTGGATTCATTTGTCCAGCACAAGCAGTTCTGTTTTTGTGCAATATAGACAGGCAAGGAGCTGCACGGGGGCCCTTAGCTGCCATTACGCCTTGTTCAGGAACTGATTGGCTTCTGAAATTCCATGACACATCATCCTGTCTTCATCGTCCATTTCAGGGGAGGGAAGGAAACTGGAGAGATGAGCATAGGAGCTCTCCTGGTGCTACTCCAGTCACCATTCTTCCTACTCCAAGATGCCCCAGATACGTAGACAGGCAAAAGTGTCCCTCTAGCAGAAAATCTCTATTGCTTCTCCTCCCTGTCTTCCCTGAACCTCCAGGTTTGGGGGTTTGTGGTCATCACCATGGGATGGTGCCCTGCCATTGCCAGCAGAAGTCCACTTCCAGATGACTCTGGCCTTTGAAAGTTAGGCAGATGGTGACCACGAGGAGGGGTACTCTGGTGGCACCTGATTGCAGAATGCAGAAATGTTCATTCAGCATCCTGTCTTCTGAGTTTTAGCAGGCAATTAGAACAGCTGGAGGGTTTGGCTTGCCCAAGCCTTTGGAAAATGAAAGGATTCTCTGCTGTAATGCTAGCTGTAGTTTTATGGAATATTATTGTAGATGATTTAATATTTTTGTGAACTGCCTTGAGGGCCTGTTGGAAGGGGTAGAAATCTGTAAATAAATGAAGGTTGGGAGTCATACTGGTAGTGATGAAGAGCTAGAAAATGGCTTTGTTTGAATGAAAGCAAAGATTCTCAGTGAGCAGACTTCTGTGCATGATGCACATTCGTATGGAACTGAGAAATACGGAGCAGTCAGACAGTGTTCTGAATGACCCAGTGGTTTCTCCAGGCCTGTGTTCGCAAAGGCCTTGTACCAGGTAGAACCTAGTAGCGTCTTTCCCATTTTCATTCTTTTAGCAGTTTTTTTTAACCTTCCAGAGTTTGGGCCTTTTCACAGGTATGCCCTGTTTACCATACACCATGAATGAGTGACTTATGGCTTTCCAGATCTCTTGGTCTACATTTCCAGCTTTCTTCATCATTGGCTCTCCTGGCCATGACTGATGGGAGCTGTAAGCCAAAAACATCTGGGAGGTCCCAAATTGCCCGTGCCTGCTGTAGAAACCACAACATTATTGGACAACCAACAGGCACAAGGATAGCGGAGTTCAAAAAAGATTCCTTAGGCCACACTTCCAGTGGAACACCTTGTGGTGGATCTAAGCAGCGCTACTTTAAGGCTCATGCTGGACCTGACTACACCAAATGCTGGTGCTCGGTTCTTGACTTACACGTCGAGGTGATGCCTCTGAGTCCATCTCCAACAGCGTTCTCATAAATCGGAAACACTGAAACCAGATATTCTGTGTGGGACGTCAAGTTGAGGAGCTGTGCTGTGGAGGCCGCCCCATCTAAAACCACCTGGAAATATACAGGGAGGTTGCAGTGAGGGTGGCATTGCTTTAAGGCCTAATCTGAGCCGGGGGACCATGTGTCCTACTCGACAGAGGATGATCCTCCCTTTGATTTGTGTCAAGTGTGGACAACTTCTAGCTCTCTGGATGTTTTGGTCGAAGACTTTGAACATTCCTCCTTACTGGCTATTCTGGCTGGGAGGATGGGACTTGTTGGCAAAATATTTTATTTATTTATTTATTTATTTATTTTTCGGTTTATATCCTGCCTTTTTCCTACCAAGGGCTCAAGGCAGCTTGCATCTCCTCCTCCATCTTATCCCCACAACAACAACCCTGTGAGGTAGGTTGGGCTGAGAGTCTGTGACTGGCCCAAAGTCACCCAGTGGGCTCCATGGCCAAGCGGGGACTCGAACCCGGATTGCCTGAGTCCCAGTCCCAGGCTCTTAACCACCACACCACACTGGCTCTCAGTGGAAGACCACAGATTTTTGCAGAAGGGCTGCCTGAGAGCCAGCTGAAAGGAGAAGAACCATCAGAAGAGAGAACATGGGTGTATCTGAGGGAGACCACCAACAGTTGGTAGGACCTGGACAGCAGGTTGAGCGGATCACCTGATCACTGTGGTGAGCTAGACAAGGTAGTGTACAAAATCAATTACAACAACAATTAAAATAAACTTTGAAGAAAAAGTTAAAAACCCAGTGCACTAAGCTGACATGAATCCATGTTGGTCTGGGAAGATTGGAGTTGCAGCCAACTCATCTGGAGGGCAAAGCATCCCCAGAAAATTCTGCAGCAAACATACAGCAATTCCTTACTAAGACAAGGCCCTCTGGAAAGGATGCCTTGCAGGTAGACCAGAGACCATCACTCCTATGGCCATTCACTGCTCTTGCAGTCCCTGGACTATGGAGGCAACATTTTGAAAGCCAGCAAACCTTCTGGTTTGGAATGCAAATGCCCCTGACTCAAATTGTCACCTTCAACCAGAGCCAGGTATTAAAGCCACACGAGATCTTCTCTAGTTTGGGCTGCTATGTCAGTCTGGCTGATCCAGCCATGCGCAAGTTGTCAAAGACGGATCACTTACCTCTTTGGGAATGCCACCCCTGGAGGGGTAATAAACTACCCTGTATTTTTTGGGTGGTATCACAGGAGGGTTCCAGGTGAGGCGCAGACTCCTGGAAGTCACCTCCTTTAAGACAAGATTGGTGGGGCTCAGGTGTGCACCAGCATTCCCTGGGATGGCTTTTATTGGGTCACCTACAAGTTTGAACAAAAGTTACAAGTATGTTTTGGGACTGGGGAGCAATGGGTTTAAGGCCCCACATTGGCATGAAGTTAGGGGCCTATCAGGAGCTCTCAATATAATCTAGCCCAGAGGTCTCATCTGAAACTGTCAAGGGAAAGGGGATAATATGCAGGGTTGTGACCAAAGTTCTTATCCCACCACTACAAAGTTTTTATTATTTGCAGACATTCTGCTTTCATCCTTGTGCACATGTAGGACCCAAGTCGTCGCTTGAGCCAACAAACAAGGTGTTCTGCCGGCTAACGTGCTCGTTGTCCTACAAGACACGGCACAAGCTACTCCACAAGTCCTTGCAAAACTGATTTCAACCTAAGTAGGGCCACAACTGCCATTATTTTACGTCTGCAACACCTTTCCCCCCATTTCTACTCTGGAGTAGGATCATCTGGCCCAGTCTAGCTCTAAAAGCCCTGCTTCCGACTGAGCTGCCATGCTGTGTCTAGCGTGAAAACCCTAGACAGAGAAATCAAGCAATGTTTGTTTTGGCACCTCATGGTGCATTAGCAGAACAAATCTTTGACTGCACTGTTTTTGCCAGTGCAACAAGTAACACAACCCACAGTGCCCTGATCGGCTTGGAGGAGCGAAACAGATAATTGCATCTTTTTATCGATATACGTAGTTACGACACCTACTTAAAGCTAGACAACCAAAAACTATTTCCTAATTTTTTAACCTAATAAACTTTCAAAATGTAAAGCAAGCTAATTTTGATTTGATAGGTTTTAAAAAATAACTGTGGGATTCCTACGATAAGTGGGTTTTGTGCCTCTTAAGTTTGCTTTTTCTAGCAAAACTAAGTTCTCTCTCTGAAAGAAACCATGAAGTCAGATAGCCACCTCCACATCTTCACGCCTTGTTCAAAATTAAAATGTAGGGATTTGTACATTGAGTTTTGAGCAATAACAAAAATAGGACATCATCAAATGTATAAGCTAAAGTTAAACATTCATTTCAGTTCTGATTGCTGTCATAGTCGGTTCATAATTTGAATCAGGGGAGATACTATGGATGTGTGAGGAATCCGTTTTGGGGTGGGAATCCATTGGATTCCCTGGGCTCAGCTCTGTGGATTCGAGTCTGCTCTCTCGTGGCCCTCCGTCTGAGTTCGTTGTGAGCATGATGAGCACTGGGAATCAAGCAGCGCCCCTCTTCCTCGCCCATGTGCAGCACTCTTTGTTAGTACTGCTGCAACCGGCGTGCAAAAGGGTTTCTGGGTGCACAAACTTTATTCCGAGAGCATCCATGGACATCCTCTCTGCTTGGCTCCCTTTCTAAGACTGAGCTGAGCAGGAGAGGAGGCCTGAAAATGCAGTGGGATGGATTCCACTGAGTTTCCTCCCAGCCCTGAGGAATACCATCCTGGGACTCTGGGGAGGATAGCATAGAAATGCTTTTAATAAATAAATAAGAAATAAATAAATTCAGGGGGAGCAGTTTTCCAGGAACACATTGCAAGCTCTTGGTGGACACACAGCTAAGTAAGGATGTGGAGTTCTCCTCACCTCTGTTCTTGTCTTTGTTCTTCTCCTTGATCCAGCTACACAAGACCCTGGTAAGGCGACTGACCAGAGAACTAAGAAGAGGGAAATCCAGCACATTGTAAACAGTCATCTCTAATGGTTCGGAAGCCACCTGGCGCAACTCTGCTTCATCGGCATTTTTCACTCCTAAAAAATGAATATCGGCATTGAGGACATTGTTATGAAATAACAGCGCATAGGACAGTCAAATCATTTGACATCTGATGCATCACTGTGGCTAGTAATCCTATGGCTTCCCAGCATCATCTGGGAAGCCATAGGATTCTTTGGAGACACAGGTCTGAGCTCTGACAGCCTCCAAGCTGGGACTCCAAAGGCCAAGACCCTGTCTTGATCCCCTCATAGCAGGCAGGGAAAGAACTGTGCCAGCTGCTCCCGCTCCAATGTCTTAACGAGGGAAAAGGAGTTGGATGAGGAAGGTGGGGCTGCAGACCCATGTCAGTTCCAAGCAGTGCCCCAGTCTCCTTCCCTCCTGCTCCCTGGCATCACACCCAGACTGCCAAAAATAAATGGGCAACTAGACAAAATACCCAGTGGTGGAAGAGAGTGTGCTGTTATCATTCATGGTGGACACAGGATGCCCAGAGGCTCTTGAGTTTAGAGGTTGCCTGCAGCTGCAGCAGGGGCTACACAACTGTGCCCTCAGAGCCGGGGCTTTCAAGATGTTTCCATTTGCTTTATTTTATCTCCCACAAACTTGCCAAGTAAACTGAGTTAAGCCAGTCTCCTTGAGCCTTTTCTGCCCCCCCCCCCACTCCACATCTGCAAAAATCACTCATCTGTTCTTCTGAACACTTTCTAACTTTGCACGTGGGCCTCAGTTATACAATGATATCCTCAGAAAAAGGCATTATACAAAGAGAATCGCTTGGGAAGCATGCATATAAAATGCACACAGTTTGAGAAAGGCACACAAAAATATGGACAAACTGACACAGAAGTAGGGCAAAAGTGGAGAGCTAGATGGAGATAAATGGAAACGGAATAATATTTCTAGCCTATTTTGCTCATTACTATCTCATCAAAAACATACCATTAATTAAAACAATTCATATAGGTTACATAGCTGCAAAAAGATCGAAAAATCAGCTAAGGGCGTAGTCCTATGGTTGTTTAGACAGAAGAAGTAATGAAGCCCTACAACTCCCTGTATTTCCATGCTTAAGGAAATCCTGAGGTTTTCAGAAGTAACCTGTGAAGGAGAAGGTCTGAACTCACCAACAGCAAATATCTTTATTCCCATCTTCTTCAAGGTCTCTGCAGATGGGCCGGCATTGTCCTGAGATTTGCCATCCGTCAAGAGGATGATCATTTTGGGGGCCTCTGATCTGGCACCAGCTTCAGCCTGCAGATTTTGTTCTAAAACATGGGTCAGTGCTAGCCCTTTATAGAGAAAGAACGGAAGGCACACAGTTACATGGGAAGTGGAAAGCGGAGGGGCTGGCAGTGAATCAGTCCCCCAGAAATGCCTGATTTCTCCCTTTCCATGTTGCACTAGAAGCTCAAAATTCAGGTGCACCTGAGGTCTTACTTTTTAACGCTTCTTTTCATGTGTGAAGCTATTGTACAATACTTGCAAAATCACTTTTGTTATGGTCCAGTAGAGCCATCTTCATTGTCTCGTGGGTGGCATTTAGGAAGGCAATCAATTCACATTTCATAATTATCCTACTAATAAAGGGCATGCCTTGCTTACTCTGAAGTTCATTCCAGTTGAGTTCCTTCATTTGGCACTCATCCTCATCCTCCAAAATTGCAGAATCAAGAAGGTGTTCAGGGGAGAGAATGTGAGATCTACCTGCCATCAGGACTCATTGGACTATGCTGTGTTTCTAGTCTGTGGCAGGAAAAAAGAGTCCTGTGCTATCTTAAAGGCAAAGAAAATTCGTATAGTGGAAGCTTTGCTCTCAAAAGCCAATGCCATAAGAATGCTGCAGGCTTTAAGTTTCCATTGGACTCTCCGTTGTTTGCTGATCAAAGAGTACCATGTCCCTTAGCAACACACTTCAAGGTTTAGCTACCACAGGGGCTTAGATTCTGACTGACGGTTGGACATGCCTCTGAAAGAGCTTCCAAAGTAAAGTCCAAGCAGGAAGCCCAGAGAGAGAGAGAGAGAGAGAGAGAGAGAGAGAGAGAGAGAGAGAGAGCGCTTTACCTGTAAAGGTATTGCCCCCCTTGTAGCGCAAGCTCCTAAGAGCCTCTAACACCTCATTCCGGGTGGAGTAGGTATTCAGGTCCCATTCCGTGCGTGGGTCACTGCTGTACTGGGATAAGCCTGGAAGAAAGCAAGGGAAGCCAACCAGAACTGATCAGGAAGGAAGGCTACAGAGCTCTGGGGGTGCCACAGACTGAAGAGAATTCAGCATCCTGAATGATGGTCATTCACAATTGTGCTCCAACCTTGCCAAAGCCCAGCTCTGCCTGAAAATCGGCAGTGCTGGAAAAAGACTGACCTTTCCTGCAGGGTTGCTTACAGCGTTGCATCCAATAAAGTCTGCCTGCTTGGTGGAAAAAGGACTGGGTATAAACACAATGGAAGGATAATTGGATGAGCTATGCATTTATGAATTCAAATTGGTATAAAAGAGGCCGTAGATGTTTCTGTAGTCTCCTGATCTTGGGGAATGGTGGAAAAAGCAGAGTCTCACCTACTCTGATCTTGTCCTGGGAAATGCTGAAAGGTGCAACCAGAGCAGCCAGGAATTCTCTGATGAGCCCAAAATTGTTGCGGCCGATACTCCAGGATCCATCCACAAGCAGGATGATATCAGTCGCAGTGGAAGCATCACACTGGAAGTGAGAAACTGTGCAAAGAGGGTGGGTTCAGGAAGAGGTAGTGAAGGTGGAGGAGAAGAACAAATGGATATGAAACTCCTTGCCATTAAAATGAGAGCAATAGAATTCTTCTGCCCACTCCTGGGGACCACTGTAATGACAGAATTAAGCTTAACACACTTTTATTATTCGTGGATGGATGGATTTACATAGGTAGGAGCAGGGCATGACTCCCAGCACCAGATCAGAGTTCTGTCTCCAGCTTTGGAGCTGGGAAACCAAAACCTGTGGGCTCCTAGGCACAGCCCAGAGGGCCATAGGATCATTCCCTCCACAAATCAAGAAACCATTTATCTTAAACTGGCATTGGAGCAGAGCAGAGGTGCAGAATCTGAGCTGTGGCAGCCATCCCCAGGTCTCCAAGGATCCCAAATGGTGATGCCCCCTTCTCCTAGCCTCACCTTCTTTCCTCTTGCTCCCAATCATTCAGCATTTTCTCAACTTTGTGCAATTTTTTCTCATCATAAAAGCTTGAAATGCCCCTTCCATGGCCTAGTTTCTGACTGGAAGAGATTTTGAATAAAATTGACTGCTACTTGAGGAATTTTTCTTTGGGGGGGTGTTGCCACTGAACCCTGAATTAGGGTTCTAGGAATTGAACCCAAGAGATTCCCCAGAATTGAATTGAGTGCTCCAGAAGAAAGAGGGTCAACACTTCCTGTTTTCAAATAGAGGACTGTCCTATATAAAGAAGGAACATGGCCACTCTACACCTGATAACTTTTGGCTGAGCTGGGATAGTCCTGACAGATCCACCTCCAATCTCTGGCCGTTAGCCAGAAGCTCTCAAAAGACCTCCTACATGCTCACAGCGGACACTTCAATCCCACAGCGTTCTTGATTAAATGCAGGTACTCATGTATGTCGACATATTCACCCCTTTCTGACCCTTTTTTGGGCAGCCCCACTGAAGTGGAGGCAACTTCTGAAAGCTGCACTCAGTTGTCTTTGTGGCATCTACAGGAGCATCTGGTATGTCTCCTTTGAAACTGAAGTGGGTCGGTCCTGACATAGGTTTGCTTTTTATTTGTATGAGTTGAACCAGGACTGGGCTTTCTAAGCAAACCTGGGGAAGTGAAGCCTTGAGGTATGCTTCAATTCCAGCTAAAAAAGCTGCAAAAACTAGGAGCTCCCCCCACATTCCCAAAGGCATATTGCTGGGAAAAAGGAGACGGTGGATGGAAATGTATGTGCATGCATTTCTTCCATTCCAAGTTTAATCCTGCTTGCTCTGTTTCCTGTTTCTTTCTTCAAACTTTCACATCTCTAGGCATGTCAAATTTAACACATGTTGCTGTTGTTGCTAGTCATGAAGTTGCGTCTGACCCATCGCGACCCCTGGACAACTTTCCTCCAGGCCTTCCTGTCCTCCACCATCCCCCGGAGTCCACTCAAGCTCACACGGACTGCTTCTGTGACTCCATCTGGCCACCTCATCCTCTGCCATCCCCTTTTCCTTTTGCCGTCAATTGTTCCCAGCATTAGGCTCTTCTCCAGGGAGTCCCTCCTTCTCATTAGGTGGCCAAAGTATTTGAGTTTCATCTTCAGGATCTGGCCTTCTAAAGAGCAGTCAGGGTTGATCTCCTCTAGGACTGACCGGTTTGATTGCCTTGCGGTCCACGGGACTCGCAGGAGTCTCCTCCAGCACCACAATTCAAAGGCCTCAATTCTTCAAATGCATAGAAGTGCCTTTTGCTTATTAACCCAAGTACAAGAGCTACAGTGAGAGTTTTGCACACAATGAACTCAAAAGCTATCCACTTGACAGAGGTATTCCATGGAAGACCACTGCGGATGTAGTCTCTAGGCCACCATCATTGCCATGAGATGTAGGGAGCAGACGGGGGGAAGACCGTGGGGTACCCTGGGTGCTTCATGGGACAGCTCACTCCCTGCAACAAGCCAGCAGCTCCACTCCTCCACATCCATGAGAAGGACGAGGGCAGATTCCTCTCGATCAAGCACTCGCTTGTGCTGTGCATGGACTGCAGGTGCGTGCAGGTGATGCGGCAGGCTCCAGGAGCGAAAGCAATCAGCCTCTGAGGGGATATGCTCCAGCGTGAGTTTACGTGTGCTGTCAGCTCAATTCCATCACTGCCTTAATCTCATTCTTTGCTTCTTTATCATGGCAAGCCTTCTGTGATGGCTTAGCGCGATGTTAACATTCGTGGACTGCCCTTTGGGCTAAAATTATTCAGGTAATTTCCCTTTATCAGATCCAGCCTCTTTCCAAATTGTGCTTTCCAAACCAATGCACAATTCCCCCTCCCTCACATCCCATAATGCAATTCCTTAGTCTTTTTCCAGATGTCTCATGTAATATCATTTAAGTAAGTGCATGCACCTGAGAACTCAGGTGTTTTTAGTGGAAGAGCTATGAAAAGACTTCATGGCTCCCAATTTTCAAACAAAGAGTATATCTTGATGTCAGATTTTTTGGGGTGCAGATTTGCGGGGAGCAGTTAAGCAGTCAATTCGTCTTTTGGGCAAAGATGCACCATACACTGCTATTACCCCCAAAACTCTACATCAGCCTCCCCACATGCGACACTCTCCAAATATGTGGGACTACAATGCCCATTGTAGGACTACAATGCCCAAAAAGAGCTTTATTCTGAGCCTCAGTTATGGGTTTAGCAGTATGCCTGACTTCGAAACAATTTACTATCTCCTCTCAGAGATATTGCCCTTTCTAAAACAATTTTTCCCTTTTGCATTAGCTGCCCATAAAAAACTGAGGTATTCTCTTTGCCAAGATAGCCACCAACACTAAACAAAGTCTGGGTGCATGGTTCACTTATTTATTTGCTTTTGCTTCTGTATGTGTGATGCAGTGGTTAAAAGCATGGGACCAGGACTCAGGAGATCCGGGCTCTAGTTCCCACTCAGCCATGGAGCCGACTGGGTGACTTTGTTGAAGCATTCAAGCCAAACATGGAAAGTCCATCACGTGAAGGCAATTTGATTTGGTTCCCCACTTTCCCTGCAGTACTGCTATAAGGCTAAATCTTGTCCTGCCACCCCGAGTTTTCAGGAACACACTTATGAGCACTCAGAGAATCGGCTGAAAGGATCGTTGCAGGGCTACCACGGACACAACAAGTGAGCTGCTGCATCCTGGGATTTGGTGGTGATGTTGCCATTCCTCTGCGCAACACGCTAGCACACACGTTTCAGCACAGCGCTCAGCCAGGCAGTCGGCCGCGTGGACCCTGCTCAGGACCATCCCTGCTGAGGATTGTACCCTCGGCCTTCAGATCATGTTCTGCGGGGATTCCTGCCATAAGCCCTGCCCTTCTTGCATGAAGGTCACATTAAATGCAGTCCCCTGTGATGTGCGTGGGAGGGGATGGAAGAAGAGAGTCAGAAGAATCTGAATCAGCACCTGGGCACTGTAAATGCTGATTATTCTCTGGACATGTTAGGAGTTCCACTGGGTGGGGGAGGGCAGTCATGCCAATGTGCCCGTAGAAACGGGCCTCGCCTCTCCTGAAGCTGTCTCTGGTTGTTCCCTCTTGGGCCAGATAGTCTATTTCAAATTCCCCTGGCCTTGGCAAAGTCATTTTCATGGTCGTTGGGGTTGCTGACACCAACGTGAACTCAACGTTTGGCATATATTCAGTGGGACCTTTTGAGATGGTGGTTTTTTGCCTTTTCTTATCTGGGTCATCCCTTCCTCTGTGTCAAAGCACAGCAAGAAAAAAGAATGAATCCATGGCACTGAGGGCCACTTTGTTTAAGGCCCCTAATCAAAATCCCATGTTTGGGCTTTAAAGTCCTGAATGGCCTGGACCAGGTTACCTGAATGAGCAGCTCCTTCTATGTCTATCTGCTCAGACCCTAAGATCAGCCTCTGATACTCTGCTCCAAGTGTCCCCACCAGATGAGACAAGGCAAGGGGGCCACAAGACACAGGGCCTTCTCGTGGTGGCACCTGCTCTGTTCAATGCCATCTCCAGTGATGCTTGCCTGAGTCCTTCCGGGGCCTTTCGGCACCTTTTTATTCCCTTGAGCACTTAAAGAAGTGCGCCCATACTCTCGTCCACACAGGAGATGGCTGGACTCCAAAAAGCCACAGCCTTGCATTTACAAGAGCTGAACGGGGCTGCCAAGGATGGGGCTTTTCGGAGGGCTTTCCGGAGGGCTTTCACTCACAGGGTTACCATATACTGTATCAGAGATGACTTGATAGCTTGTCAAAGGAACAGTGTTTTATGTTGCTGATGGTTTTCCATTGTTTCTAGATATTGCACTGCTTTGACAATTTTATATGCTGTTTTTACTTGCACACCAGAAAAGACCTGCCCTTTATATATTTATTCTACCTCTTCCTCTTCCTGTTGCATTACCTGCCTGTTTGATTGATGGATTTGCTTACAGGCTGCTCAGAGAATGCTGGTTATTGGGTAGTCTAAAAGCTTGATAAATACATATATTTCCAGGAGCAGCTTCCCCTGCATACAAACTAACATTTCTATCTCATGGCCTGACATTTCCATTTGTGGGTCTGCATGTTTTTTCATAAGAGGGAATTCCTGAGAGGACACAGGTTGGCCTTGCAACAGCTCTGGGCAAAGAGAACAAACCAAATACCAACATCCAGCCCCTTTGAAGCATAGTCAGCATAATCAATGGGCATTAATGAACACTGGTTTGAATTATGCATGTTGGGGGTGGTCCTATGGCCCCCAAATGGTATCTAGGGGCCATAGGAAGCTTTGGATTCCCAGATACCAGGCTGGAGACTATACCCTGACCTTGGAGCTGGGAATCTGCAGTCCCAACCGCCTTCCAACCCCACAATCCACATGGAAAGAAGCATGCCAACAACTTCTCCACTTCGCTGCCCCTTCCTCTAAACTGTTGCCCAGCATTGCAATTTTTAAAGGTTTCATCCCAGGTTTAGCTCACATCTACATCCTCTCTTCACCTTCATTCCTTCACGTACTTGTCAGGGTTGACGCTTCGCCAGTGGCTGCTGATGTGGCTTCAGTTGACTGGATGTCTCCAGCTGCTGTGCTCCCAAGTGACGCCTCCACCTTTTCTGGGGCACCTGTTGGGTTCCTTCTGCTACTTCTAGCTTGGGAGAGGTTTTTCAGCTCTTCAACTGGAACAGCCAATAAGCCAACGGATCTGAATCAGTCACGAAGTTGAGCGATGACAGCCCATGTGGTGTGTGGTGAGAGTCCTGGGCACTGGAGTTTTTTTTTTTTAATTTATCTATTAAATTTCTATCCCACCTTTTTCCTTTTTAAAGAACTCAGAGCAGCTGACATCATTTGCCTCCTGCTACTCTCAGTCCTATTCCTACAACGACCCTGTGAGGTAGGTTGGTTATGACCTATAAAGCCCTAAACGGCTTGGGACCTGGTTACCTGAAGGAGCGCTTACATCCATATATGCCCAACTGCCCCTTGAGATCTGCGGGAGAGGCCCTTCTCCGGGAACCCTCCGTGAAAGAAATTAGGAGGGTAGGTACTCGGAGGAGGGCTTTCTCTGCGGTGGCGCCCAATCTATGGAATGTGCTCCCCAGAGAGGTCTGCCTGGCGCCGTCGTTATTTGTTTTTCGGCGCCAGGTGAAGACCTTTTTATTTAAACATCATTTTAATTGTTAACAATATTTACTTATTTATCTGGCCAGGGCGACTTCTTTTCTTTTATAACTTTTCTTTTATATCTTTTATATTTTTTATTTATTTTATTTTATTAATTTTAATTTTATATTGTTATTTTTGTATTGTATTGTATTTTATTGTGTTGTAAGCCGCCCCGAGGCTTCGGCAAGGGGCGGCATAGAAATGTAATAATAATAATAATAATAATAATAATAATAATAATAATAATAGGTCAGGCTGAGTGTGTGTGACTGGCCCAAAGCAACCCAGTTGTCTCCACGGCCAAGCAGGGACTAGAACCCAGATCGCCTGAGTCCCAGTCCCACACTCTTAACCACTACGACACACTGGCTCTCTAGTCCACTTGGCAATGAAACTTACTGGGTGACTTTGGGCCAGTCACTCATTCTCAGCCTAAGCAAGGGTTCTGAAGAGAAAACGGAGTATGGGAGACTATGTAAGCTACCTCGGAAGAAGAAAAAGGGTGGTATAGAAATGTCATGGCAGAAGGGGAAGGGAAAGGGGAAGATCTGCAACACTGTATGCACATTTCAGGCATGTTTGAAGACTGGGTCACCCAATATTGAGAGACTGGTTTATGTCTGTACAGTATTTACTTTAAATGATACCCTTCTGCTGGCTTGCAGGCTTCCTGGAAGGACCTGATTTTCTTGGCTCAGAACTAGATCCAAGCACCATAGTCCAGGTTCTTGTCACCCAAGAACCTCCCTGCAGCAGGTAGTTCTGCTCCCATCCAGGGTAGTTAAGCCTCCCCCGAAGCTGTTTGGACTATACCAAATCCAACCAGGTACAATATTAGTACTTGCAGTTTGGAGGAGTCTGCCTGCCTGCCTGCCTGCCTGCCTGCCTGCCTGCCTGCCTGCCTGCCTGCCTGCCTGCCTGCCTTCCTTCCTTCCCCTCATTAATTCCTGGCCCTTTTTCCTGCCCCAGGTAGATAGGCCTGTTCTCATGCAGGCTAGAGCTATTGATGGTCATTACTGGCAGTATCAGAGGCACTTGCCCCTCAGTATCAGTTGCTGTGGAACATGAGCTAAAGCATACTCAGGTCCTGCCCAGAGGCACCTAGTTGGATATACTATACTGGACTAGGAAGGCCTCTCATGTTCTTGACCAACCTTCTCCAACCTGGTATCCTCCAGATGATTTGACTACAAGTCTCATCACTCCTAACCAGCTGAGCTGATGGGAGCTGAATTCTAAAATATCTGAGGGCGCCAGGACGATTCTTGGTCATAACATGCATCTGGATTCTGCGCTCACTCTTCTTATTATGGTGTTGTCTCTGTTGGCCATTCTCCAGGGACGACCTCCTTGCTTGGCCAAGAGCGTCGCTCTGTGTTTGAGCTGCACGGCCACCCGTGCTATTGACCTGGCTCTGGTCTGAGCCTAGCAAAGGCTTTTAACGATATAAGCCCAGCTTTGGCAGATGATGAGATGAACGAGACCGCAAGGGAGCGAAAAGGCACACTTACTCACAAATTTCCTCTTGACAAACAGGGCCTCCTGAGAACCATTCAGAGTGTAGATTTGCAGCGTGTATTCTTTTGTGGGACTCAGGCCCCCCACTGTTGCTTTAGCTGTTCTGGTCTTTAACATGACCTCCTGCTCAGAGTCACCTGCAAGAAGCAGAAGAGAGGAACCAGGACAGCAATGCACCCCTGGGCAGGTCAGCACTAGACTGCCTTCTCTTTATCATGCAAATTGCATTCTGCACCATTGGGCACATGCCAATGTTTACAGCAAAAGCAGGACCTCAAAACATGCAGATGCAATTTGCAAGAAGCTGAAGGATTTGGAAAGGGGACATGCATGGGGAAAGTTCCACGATGGGGCTTTTGCTTTAGTGGCACGCTGGGGCACGTGTGGGACCACCTCTCTTGGTGCCAGCAATGGCAGTGGTGGGCCATTTGCCTAACCATGGTGGTAGCCAGCAAGCACGGGGATGCGTGTCTCAGACAAACTGACGAGTTCTACACTAAAACTCTCCACCCCACCATCTTAATTTTCCCTTACCCTGATGTGCATAGATGAGGGTGTCGTGTCTCCTGATCGTGAGGCCTGAAGAGGTTCATATGGGGTCACAGGGTGCCCCTCTTCATGGAGAGCCCTCAACACCCCTTTCCACACTGTCCCGGCCTGAGAATGCAGACCTTGCCAATGCTAAGCATGACGCCCCTGCAGCTCTTCCTTCCCATTCATCGTGCAAAAGGAGACCCACTAGGGGTGGAACCACTGAAGGAACAGACTCAACCGACCTCCTTACTGCCTTCGTTGACCACAGTCCTCTGCTGAGACAACACCTCCATGTGGGAGAATGTGCTGGCCAGCATGTCCTGCTGTGCACTGTCCAAGGTCCTGCCCAGTTTTCCTCTTTGGCCGTCTTGTTCAATGGGACCCAGAATGGACAGGAAGCACCAGGCTGAAGGCCACTTTCCTTGGCCCTCCCACCTGCCTGAACTTGCTGCTTCAGTCTCAGAGAAAGAGTCTGACCCAGAGCTTGGAAAAGTTGACTGAAGGCTGGTCAGGACATGCACTGGGAGGGGACTGGCGATTCACCTCCAGCTTGTTTCACAGGAGACTGCAAGGAGGGGAGGAACATGGCATGGGAAACCAGGAGGTGGAGTTTGCGGAAATGGGGCACCTGAGGCTGTCCCTTAGGAAGTGGCATCAATTGAAGAGGCAGCCAACCTGCAGTGCACATAATCAGGCCAAGTTTTCTAGCAGAATATCACAAAGGAGCAAGATGTCTAGTTGTTCCACCTCTGCTAATGCAGAGGCAAACAGCTCTGGGTGTAAAACATCCCTGAACCAGATCCATATTTGATTGGATACCTGGACTGTACCACACCTTGAATACCTTGTTTGGATTCTGATACTGGGCTTTAAGACCCTTCCTCCCACTTCTGCTTGGATTGTATGTATATATGTATTTCAATATTGCCCCACAGCTGAAGCTCTGAGTTGATTACTGAGTAAATTACTAATGAATTTGATTACTAATAACCTCTCTGATTACCTGAGTTGCTTGAAATTCAGCACATGAAAGATTTTAATTTTTAGCTCCAGTGAGGACCTTCTGTTAGTGTTAGGCTATAAGAAAAGTATACACTGATTTAAAAAAAAAAAAAAAAAAAAAAAACCTCTGTCAAGTTGCAAGGGAGCCAATCCAAATGTATTTTGAAGAAACCACTGGGATGAGCTAGTGTATTGGTTTGCTGTTTATTAAGTCTATATATTTTTACATTTGTGAGTATTGATTTGTGGAACAGATTTGGAATGGATATGTAAACAGAGTTATTGTTATAAAGAAGTACATGCTGTGAGCTGATTATATGCTTTTGTTATTGTTAAGGATTGCCAAAAAGAAAAATGAAAAAAAAAAGTTGCAAAGGAACCGGTGGTGATACTAGGGGGACACAGAGAGGGAGAACAATTCAGCAGAGGGTGAAAGCAAGGTCACCAAAATTATTGGTGGACAGCTCACTCATTTATCCAGAAAAAGCCAGTGGGATAGAGCCAATCAACAGAGGTCTGTCTCCCCTCTCTTCTGCAAAACTTACAGAGCTAGCCCTGGCTCAAATCCAAGCGCTGGCCCTGGTTCATTTCCTTATTCATTGCAAAGCAAATAGGAATGCCTACTCAGAACCTGCATCCTTCTAGAAAGAGCCATGACCAGGCAGCACAGTTCGGTACCTGCCATGGGCTTCACCCGGACCTTGTATCCACTGGTATTTCCCTCTGTTTCTTTCCATTTCATCTGCAACCTGTCTTCAGAAAGGACTGTTAGCTTCAGCCGGTTTGAGCCTGGAAGAAAAACACAGAAACGTGGAAACATAAAAACAGAAACTGAGCAAGTCAGAAGGGGCCTCCTGGGCCATCTAGTCTGAGCCCCGGGTCTAGCTGGCTCCGCTCATGATATGCCCACCATGTGCATGTCCAGCCTGTCTTTGAACACCCTCACCGGTGGGGCCTCAACGACCCCCCGTGGAAGCCCATTCCATGCCCTGGGGGTCCTAACCTTCAGGAAGTACTTCCTGGCATCCAAATTGAACCTTGGTTCCTGAGCTTGGCTCCATTGGAGCACATCCTGCCCTCCTCTGCAGGGGAGAACAGGTCTCTTCCCAACACCTTTTTCGTTTTAGACTTGCTTGGCACTCTGGTGTGGATGCAAGAGTACAACATGGTGCATAGCACTGAATTGTCAAAGCACCTGTAAATGGACACCCGTCCTGGAACTGAATTCAGCCCCATTGAAGCAGGTTTGGAGCATTGAAGGAATACATGCCAGCCCACACGATCCTTTCCTTGCTCCTCGCTTTCTCATCTTCGACTGTGAAGCAGGTGGTGGGAGGAATATTTGATTTTGTATTCCAAGAATGGTGTGCAATCAGTAAGAAAATCATGATAAAATGTAGAACAAAACCAAAATTAAAGCTGAGACAGCAGCAGCCAGTAAAATGCCCTAAAAGTAGAATCTGTCATAACACATGAAGACATCTTTGGGCAATTAAAAAACAAATTCTTGACGTGGCAGCAAGTGGATGCAAGATGTAAACTAAGCAAGCTTCTCTGATTAAGGCATTCCAGAGGCAGGAAGGGAAAGCTCCCCTCTCCATCCAAAAGTCGCCCTGCTAACGAACGATTCAGCCAACCTTCATTTCTGGAGGACAGATGCCGAAGCAGAAGGAAGGGTCATTCTACAGAGTAGAACCAGACCTGGTCAGAAAGCTGGAGTTGCCAATGGAGAGGAAGCTCTGCTCCATTTTAATCCCCAGAGTGTGTTTGTCACTCACCTGCCTTGTTGCCCTGACGCTTTTTTGCAGAATGGTGGTCTGTCCCACCTACTCATCTGATAATGATGTGGGGAAATGTACAGTGGGATCAGGTCACAATATGGGGGCAGTGGAGCTACATATTGTGCATTGTGGGAAGTTTGACCTGTGTGGCTCGTAATGGATCATTCCACAGCTGGGGTTCAGCCTTTCCTACAAAACAGGAGAATGCGCGCCATGCTGGGCATCCAAACGATCTTTCTGCACCCAAGATTTTGGAGGGGTGCAGCAGATCCAGGGAACCCGGATGCCACTCCAGCTGGCAGCTTCAAGGCTACCGGTGTGAAAAATGCAGACCCCGAGACAGGGCAAGTAATGCCCCCCACCCAGTAGTTCATAACTCAGCAAGAGCAGTCGATATTGCCTTGTGGCTCGTTTGCAGGGAGGCGGGCCACCGAATTATCAAATGGCAAAAGACAGAGGGGTTGAGGGAAGCAGCCTGGGGGGCATCTCTTGCTCTATTCAGCCTCCATTTGAGCTCCCTTGCCTTTGGAAATATTGGCTGCTGTGAGCTCCAGGGTACTAAATGCAACACCCCCGTGTTTCTCCCTGATGCCATTGCTGTCTCAGCCCCATTCATGCCTTCCTTTTCAGGCTACCCATGGAGGAGGGAGTCAGATGGCTCTGCCAGGTCCTTTCCAGTCTGTGTACATTGAGCCGGTTGTCCCCTGGGTCAGTCATGCTGGACCTCTCTCCGCCAGAGGGCCAAATTCCATTCCAGAGAAGTTCTCGGGGGCTGCACAAGAGGGGTGGGTGGAGCCAACACAGCTAGCATGCCCCATATCTTGGCTTAAAGTTCTTACTGTGAGTAAGCAAGTCACAGGGGAGGCATTTCGTTCACCTTTCGGGACAGGAGAAAGCTGTGTAAAAGCTGGGAACAATTTGCTGATGCACAAAAACCTCAAGGGGAACCAAGGAGGACTGAATCGGGAAACCCCGATCTGAACCCCAGGCCTGAGGGTCTGAAAGGCTATCTGAAATTTGAAGGAGCTGTTCATGGCGCTGAACTCTGCCCCTCCAAATTGGTTCAGCAGCCAATTATCTGAAGAGGTGCTGGGCTCTTCCACCCTGGAGGCATTCAAGATACAGCTGGACAGCCATCTTGGGGGTGGGGGGGATGGTTTAACTGGGAGTCCTGCAATGAGCAGGGGGCCCTGACCCCAGTGGCCCTGACCCCTTCTAACTCTACTATCCTATGATTCTGTGAAGCAGGATAGCTCCTTTAAGTTCAGACTGAAGGCCAGAGCAGATACAGTCCATGCTGATGGCAACTCTGATTATGCCAATTGTGCCAAGCACAGAGTAACACTTGTTTGAAGCAGCACATTTAGCGAGTCTTGTGTGGGACAGTCCTGTCCTAGATAAACAGTCCATCATATGGTAAAGCTCCTCTTGGACTCCACCAAAGAAGAGTGATGAAGGGAGTTTATTTACTCAAATGGATAACGTTGACTTGGACTACCGGACCATCTATTCTGCCATGGACTGATTTCTTTGGCTGCAGTTTTCCAGGGCTTCGGTAAGAAGTCCTTCCCATCCATGCTGTCTGGGATCCTTTTGCCAAGAGATGCCAGAGGCTGAAGTTAGAGCCTTTGGAGATGGTCACAAATTGCCAAAAAAGGGGTCTGCATCAAGAGGACAAAGGGGGCTGTGATTTACATAAATGAACACAAGCTGATTTATATGCAGGGATGCAGATTTGGAGATCATTCTTATGATTTAAGTAGAACGAGAGGGCACTGGTGTGCCTGCCTCTTCAGGCTACTGTTGATGGGTAACAGCTCTTACAGTTCATTTATCTAGGAACAGAAACTGGACAGGGAGCCCTTCTAATAGGGGACATCCTCAAATAGAGAGCCATCATCTGTAGAGAGTATCTTCAAATACAGAAGAGTCCTCTGGCAGCCTTGTAAAAGCGGACGCATGGCTAACCTAGGTCAATTGCTGGTGCAAACAGGCACATTCCCACCAAGCTGTGGGCACTCCTCTGTAGAAGACAAACTCTCCATCCACACAAGAAATGCCCAGGTGAGTCACAGGTGCAAAACGTAGCTGCCATACCTCAGAAAAGTTCTCATCCAGGAGACACCAGAACAGAACATTGGTGGCCCCATGGGGCAGAACAACTGACTCAGCCTCACATTTGTGCACTTTGACCTTTGGGAGAGGCCTTCCAGCTTCCTGTGAGGAAACCACTTCTTGGGGGAAACAAAGCTGAGATTCAGAGGCCTGGACAAAAATAAAGGGCCTTCCATCCTTCCATCCCCGTTGGAAGAAGTGCCAGAGACTTAGAGGGCCCACTTGCAGTGTCCAGTTGGAGCAAGCACAGGGAGGGCAAGTGGAAAACAATGAAGGGATTCATGTCCTCATCAATTAAGAGCTTGTTTCATCTCAACTTGCTCTGCCCTCCCTCAGCCGTCACTCGGGGAGCCCCAAAACGAGGGCACAAGAATGTTGGCATGGGCGTTGCATGACAATTCAAAGATTATCCAGCATCGTCTGATATCCAGGATGCAAATTAGTGATGGCCCTGCAAAGAGCCTCTTGTTGGGATGCCCTTGTCTACCCTGTGCAGTGGTGTTACCGTCACCTTATTCCGAGGCAGGGCTGTGCAGTGTGGGTTGTGTTGTTGTCCAAACCCAGCACTGTGGGATGAAGACTGTCCATGGTGCCAAGACCCCAAGGGGCACTGCACCCTCTTCTCCCATTTAGCCCAGACTTCCTTGTAACAGTGACAGAACAAGAAGACACTGCCCCTTTAAGGAGGACTGCTCAATGCGGTGCTCACCCAGTCCATCCTGACACCCACCAGCTCCCCTGCCCCTCCCGGCTTCCAGTTCATCCCTTAAGACTCTTTATTGTCTATTTTGAAAAGGAACTCAGAACCTCTCATGCTGCAAAGGTTTTCCTCCATTCCCATTTCTATTTGGGTTCGGTGGAGTGGATTTTACGTTCTGGAGCTCTGCTGCCCAAACTCTGCCTTGTTCTTCAAATTTTGGCCAAGTTACTCTTGCTTTCATCTCACCAGTTTGTCTTCTGGGAAACGAGTTTTGAGAACACCCACCATACTCCAAATCTGACCGCCTACCCTGAAGGAGTGGGGATCCCGGCTCTATGACCATCCCTAGAACCACCCCAGAAAGAAGGCACAAGTCCATTCCTTGGCAAGCAATGCCAAGTCGGCAATCAAACTGCGATTCTTCACAGTGCCAAGCAACTGAGTGGACAAGAGGTGAGGTTTCGCCTTACCTTGACTGCGCACCTGTACTGTGGTGTAGCTTGCAAGCATCATGCAGGAAATCCAGACAGGACAGCGAGGCAGCATGACGACCTGCAGAAAAAGAGCACCAGAGCATTTGCCTGAGTAAATCTCTCAGCAACAGAGCTTAATTTCTGAAACGGGTGTCTGGAGGTTGCGCCTGCCTCAAAGTCAAATGCTGAATGTGGCTACCTGGTTTTGAGAGGTCGTTTAGCGTGCGATCCTATGGCCCGACACAGTGTCTGGGACACCTTAGGATGCCATGGATCTCTTCTTCCTTGTCCGCAGATAGAGCTATAAGCACAGAAGAAGAGATTTGATCGTGGACCTCCCCACCCTCCCTCTGCCTCTCCTTCCAGACAGCCAGAAAGTTTCTCCTGTCAAGCTGCAACTGCAACCTTGTAAGAGAAACCAGAAATGGGGGAAAGATGTGAGCCTGTTTTTGTAGCAGCTTTTTGTATTTGACATGGAGGTGAAATCACCTTCGTCCTTTTGTTGGAAGGACACGGGGCAGGCAGAAATGTCTGGACCCAGAGCCCTCTTTCTGCTGGAAGTGTAACCCATAGGATTGACCCCTTACCAAATTAATGCTGGTCCATGTATGCACCTTTTATCACCTGATGACTGCAGCGTGGCCACTTGGAGGGGCTTTATATGGCTGGGAACGCCTCACCCCATATGTCCCTTCCCCAGGAGCCTGCTCCAAGGCGGTGAGGAGGGTGGCTAACAAGAGAAGGACCTTTTCAGCTGTGGCTCCCCGGCTATGGAATGAGCCCCCCAAAGAGGTACACTCAATGCCTACTCTTTTCAGCGCCAGGTGAAACCTTTTTTCTTTTCCCAGATTTTTAATAGTTTTCTAACTTTTTAACTTTAGCTTTATCCCGCGATGCCTCTGTGCTGATCCAGTTGCAGTTTCTGTGGTTTGCCTTATGCTAATTGCTTTTCTCTCTCTTGCTTGTTGTGTGTTTTTCATTTTTGTTAATCACCCAGAGAACCTCAGCTCTTGGGCAGTATAAAAAAGAAATAAATAATTAAGTAAATAATATTAGGACAAGAACAGCTGTTGGCACACCTCATGTGACCACAAGCTACTTAAGACATTATGCTCAACCTCTGGAGACTCGGATGTGGATGGCTTTATTCGTGGTGGCCCCCATCTATAGAACAACCTCGACAACTGCACCCCCCCTCAAATGGTGCCAACTTTGCCATCTTTCTGGCACTGAGTTCAGACAGCATTTTATGCTGAGTCTTTTAAAGATATACTTGGTCCTCCAGGGGCTTGAAGGGATATAAATATAATAAAGAAATAAGAATAAATGACTGATCTTGGATGTTTTTCCTTTGTAGGGTCATTCTTTACTGTATGTTTTAGCAGTTTTAAATGCTTTAATTAAAGCATTAATTTAACATTAAACATTTGCTGTCCTGTCTTTATACATTGTTGTGGCTTCGGGTGGTACAAATAGGAAACTGATGAGGAGGAGGAGGAGGATGACAATGACGACAACAACAGCTTCTTGCAGGGGGGCCTCCGGAGGGACCCCCCCACACCCAATCTCTCCTCTTGCTTTTTACCCCAGCAACTAGCTGGCATGCTTCACCCATCTTTCCAGGGCACAGGAATCGTTTGGCGGACTGGCCAGCCCACTTTCCAAACAAACCTTTTTGGCACAAAGGCTGAATTCCATTTTGGAGAGGATTTGGCTTGAGGGGTCCTATTCCTGTACGGGGTGGATGCAAGTGGGGTCTGAATGCAAGAGGTGCAGGTCAAAAATATGCACCTCACTTCACTTCAGGTGACTTATGTCCCAGGATGGGCCTTTCCAGCCCTTCAGAGAGCGAGGCCAGGGACAGCCAAGAACTGTGTATCTCTAATGCAACCTGTGCAAATCAGAAAAATGCATGCGATTTGAGTCCTTCTTGTTCCTGTTGTAATGTTTAACATGAGAAATATGGGAATATCCTCCTCTCCTTGCAGGTACATACCCATGCGCACTATCCTGGCTACCTTGAATTTCTGGCAGTTAATTCCTCATTTATGTAAGAATTAGGCTTCCTCTCAGCAATCTGAGCTCAGCTCCTTTGGTGTGACAAAGCCAGACTAGCTGGGCCGCTTTATTTATTTATTTATTTATTTAATTCATTCATTCATTCAAGCCCCCATCGCAACAAAGCCTCGGGGCAGCTCACAACAGGAACAAAATACATAAATAAATAACAATATAACAATAAAAAATTATTTAAAACCCCCAGTGCATCTCGGCTAAAAATTTAAAATCCAATAAATACAAATAATTTAACAATTAAAATAAGTTTAAAATAAAAAGGTCTTAGCCTGGTGCAGAAAAACAAATAATGACGGTGCCAGGCGGACCTCTCTGGGGAGCGCATTCCATAGATGGGGCGCCACCGCATAGAAAGCCCTCCTCCGGGTACTCACCCTCCTAATATCAATCACAGAGGGCTCCCGGAGAAGGGCATCTGTTGCTGATCTCAAGGGGTGGGAGGGCATATATGGGCGCAAGCTTTAACATAATAAGGATGATGGTTAGGCATCTCCTAACTTGATCTGCTTGGAAGCAGAAGGCTGGAACAGATCAGGCTGCATGAATGTTTCTGCCCATCTCTTGTTGTTGCTAGTCGCGAAGTCGTGTCCGACCCATTGCGACCCCATGGACAACACTCCTCCAGGCCTTCCTGTCCTCCACCATCCCTGGAGTCCATCCAAGCTCACACCCACTGCCCCAGTGACTCCATCCGGCCACCTCATCCTCTGCCATCCCCTTCTCCTTTTGCCATCTATTGTTCCCAGCATCAGGCCCTTCTCCAGGGAGTCCTTCCTTCTCATTAGGTGGCCAAAGTATTTGAGTTTCATCTTCAGGATCTGGCCTTCTGAAGAGCAGTCAGGGTTGATCTCCTCTAGGACTGACCGGTTTGATCGCCTTGCAGTCCAAGGGACTCGCAGGAGTCTCCTCTGGCACCACAATTCAAAGGCCTCAATCCTTTGGCACTCAGCCTTCCTTATGGTCCAGCTCTCACAGCCATACATTGCAACTGGGACAACCATCGCCTCGACTATGAGCACTTTTGTTGGCAGGGTGCTGTCTCTGCTTTTTCCATCTCTTACAGCTACGCAGTGCGTTCACCTTCCTAGCACTATGTTGGGATGGACCTCCTTGCAGGCCCCCGCGGACTTGCTGCCGTGCTCAGTCCAGTCTTGCAAGCTGAGCCAAGAGGAAGTCTGGGAACGCCGATGCAACGAAGGTTGTGGAACTAGCGCCCTTCTGCTGCATCATGCGCAGTGGCACAAGGGTTGCTGCACGTGAGCATCAGAGAGGGACCACGGCGGTGCGGCGGTGGTGCAAGTCTCCATTCCTGGTGAGCCCCCCATGGCTGCTCCCCTTGCAGCACCCCTTTTCTGCATCGGGGTGCAGAAGCGGGACATCACTGCAAAGTGGGCTGGAGTCTGGGGAGCGGGGCCCAGAGAATACAATCCCTAGCCCCCCAAATGGATCCCTCTACATCCCTAGTCTAGAAGCACTCCCAGAGAGAAAGAAATTAGCCTTTCTTATCTTTGGTTGTTTCTTTCTAACACATATGGTGTATAAAAGGTTAGGAGGGAATATCTTCCGTAGGTATGGGAGAACTAAGGATGTTTGAGTTTGCCAAAGCTCAGTTCAAAGCATCAGTTTGAAGCTCTCTGTTCAGTTAAGGCCCATTTTCCTTTGCGGCATGCTTTTTGTTGGTTCAAGCTAGGAAGGTGTACATTTCAAATAGGAAAGGTGGGCATTTCTGCGCATTTCAAAAGTGCAAATTTCCCACATTTTGACAAAAGCATGAAAACTCATATCTTGTTTAAGGTGCATTTCAAGGTATGCGTGTCCCCACAGCTATGTATAAACATTTTGCAAACACAATCACAGGTTCAGGAATCAGCAACTTTGTTTCAAAAACATGCTTCCTTTCCTATTCGAGGTTTTGCGCCAAGCAAGTTCACACTGTTTGTAAGCAACCCAAATTCTCATTCATCTCCGTGCATAGCATTTTCGTGCCTTGAGAGGCTTTGCTGGAGAGTGGCAAAACTCTGACAAAGGAGCGACTCCTCTTCTTCAGAGGAGACCAAACGTAACCCCTGGAAAGAAGAAAACCTAGAAATGTGATGTAATTTGCAGAGTCTCTTATGAGAAATTCCACCACCCAACCCTCCATGTTTTCTGCTGTAAAGCACTGGGGTTTTGTATCTCAAGGGATTTAAGGCTGCCGATACAACCCTACAAAGGAAGGAGTTCCCACTGAATTCTATGAGGTTTACTCCAAGGTAAGTGGTAATGGCAGCTTTCTTCCCAGGGCCCAGATCACCTGCAAAAGGCCAATTCTGGAATCAGACCGTAGCAAATGGGTACATTACCTTTCTTCTCTATTATGTTCTGAACTGGAACACACACACACAAACCTTGTAGTCAGCAAAACCTGGGCACACACAGGTCAGTCATGTGGTCAACCTGTGGTCTAGCATGCTCCCAAAAAGAACTGACTTCCCAGAAAGATCTTCTAAGAGCAGCAATTCTGAACAGAAGAAAAAGCTTCACTCTCCACTGCAGGTCTTCCAAAGAGTGAGTTTTCTGAGCTTCCCACTCCCCAGTCCTATTTGCAGCTCAAGCTTTATTTGAAACCACCCAGGTGTGCTTTGAGACTCTGCATGGCCTCTTGCGTTCAAGCACAGTCATAAAAGCAACAGTGCTTTGCACTTCAGCATCTTCAGCGTGCGCGAGCCGAGCTCAGCCCTTCCAGCCACTCTGTGAAGTTATGGTGCAGATTTGAGAACAGAGAACACGCGGCTTTGTATCCAGCTGCAGAGTGAATTTGTAGCCCAGGAGCAGCTGTGAGCTCTCCTTTCTTTAGAACCTGCTCATTTCACCATGCTACTAGCAAGGGCAAAGAGAAAACTATTCCTGGCTTCTAACTCAACACTTACATCAAAAGATATAATTCCAAGAGGCAGGTGACAAAACACCACTATATACCCCCTAGAACACCCTGCTCCAAAGCAACCATCCAAACGA